CGGTATTCTACACTAGAAGAAAAAAACCGGTCGACGGGCGATTCAGCAATCACTTCAAGGGACCCAGGATTTCACCTTGTGCCTTTACAGTACATTTTCTCACTAAATTCAGTAATATTTACATTTAATATCCAACAATTATTGTTTTACTGTCTTGTCAGCCTTCCATCATTGCGCCAGGGAGATATGAATGTTCCAATTTTAAGTGAAATTAATTATTTCCTGTGAATAATTTGTCTAACTATAGTCTCATGCAAATGTGGGGGCTGCAGTCACACAACTTCCATAAGAGCTGTTCAGCTAAAGCCCCGAACAGATTGGTATTCATCAGTCCTATTCCCTACTTTTGAACCAAATCCTGAAGTCCTTACTCAGGCCAAACTCCCATTGACTTCAGTGAGAGTAAGGACTACAGCCCAGATTTTCAAAGGCATTTAGGCATTGCTGTGCTCAGTGTTACAATGCCTAACTGATTTAGGAGCCTAAATCTTATTTTCAAAAGGGAGTTAGAAGCCAAAATCCCATCAACTGAATGGGATTGGGCTCCTAAGTCAGTTAGGCCTTGCAACACTGAGTGCAGCAATGCCTAAATACCTTTAAAAATCTGAGCCTGAGGGCCTCATGCAAAGCCTATTGTATCTTTGTAAGACCACCATTGCTTTAATAATGGGCTTTGAATCAGATCTAGCTAATGATTGCAGAACTTGGCCTTAAGTGCAGAAAAACAATTGCTTGTTTTCATTTAAATCATGAAAAGAAGACCTTCATTAAATTATTATTACACATGTCCTTGAGTTCAGTCTGATGGTGAAGTTTTGGGGTGCTTAAACCAGTTCAGTTTAAATAAAACCAGAAACCAAAAACTCACACTTGAACAAAACTTGTTTAGAGGCTTGATTAAATATTTTTAAATTTCTGGATTTACAGGTTTGTGCTGGAATTAAGCAGAAACATGTAGCTAAAATAAGAGAAGCAATAATCCCAATCTGGTCAGAAGCAGTACAGGTGAGTCGCATCATATGCGCATTTAATTTACGCGAATTCAACTATACGCGCTTGGCAAAAAAAAGAAAACAAGATACCTGTAAATAGTGCGGGCGATTCCACCCTCCATTCCACTCAATGAGTGTATGCCCCGGAGTGAGCATGAGATGGGAAACGTGAATCTGCTGTTCCCTCAGTCAGTCTTAGTTCCCGCATGCCTCGCATAGTGTGAGCATCTTGCCGCGCTGAGTGTGATTCTAGTGTTTAAAGATACGTATTTTTCATACAACATGCCCCCTAAACGCAAGCCAACTACTTCATCTGGTGCTCAACTGAAGAAACAGAGATCTGTTCCAACGCTGGAGGAAAACCTGGCTGTGTTGGACTTATTGAGAGATGGTATGTCGGTCTCCAATATGGCGCAACGAATCTAGCATCCGTGCCATCAAGATTCGAGAGAGAGAAATTCGTCAAGTGCTCCAATAACTGCTAAGGTGACGAGCCAGGTGCATGATAAGACTTTAGTGAAGACTGAAAAGGCATTAAACTTATGGCTGGAAGACATGAACTGCAAACGTGAGCCTATCAATGGCAACATGTTGAGAGAAAAGGCTCTTACTATCTATGCGCTGTTCAAACCTCCCGCCGAAGAGGGACAGCCTTCTGATGAGAAGGAATTCAAAGCCAGCCCAGGTTGGCTTAACAGTTTTAGGAACCGCTTCAACCTCAAAAACGTGCAGACTACTGGTGAAGCTGCATTTGCCAATGAAGAGGCAGCAAAAGCCTACCCCGAACAATTAAAGAAAATCATAGAAGAAAAGGGCTATCTTCCGGAACAAGTTTTTAATGCTGATGAGACTGGGCTCTTCTGGAAAAAAATGCCCAATCGCACTTACATTTTGAAAGCAGAAAGACAAGCCCCTGGCTTCAAAGCAGCTAAAGTCCATGTGACTGTGTTATTTTGTGGCAATGCGGCTGGGCATTTAATAAAGCTGGGCTTGCTCTACAGGGCTGCAAATCCCTGTGCCCTAAAAGGCAAGAACAAAAATCTCCTGCCTGTGTTCTGGCAATCAAATAAAAAGGCTTGGGTGATGGCAGCATTATTTCTGGATTGGTTCCACAAGTGTTTCATTCCAGAGGTCAAGCGGTACCTCGAAGAGAAAGGACTTGACTTTAAAGTGTTGCTGATCGTAGACAATGCTCCTGGCCACCCTGTGGCACTCCGGTTTGCACACAACGATGTTGAAGTTGTCTTTCTCCCCCCCCAATACCACCTCCAACCTCTCGACCAAGGTGTGATTCACTGTTTCAAGGCCACGTACACGAGGCTTACGTTCTTACGGATACGTAGCGCTATGGATGCTGATCCCAATCTTAATGTGATGGAGTGTTGGAAGTCTTCAACATTGCCGATTGCATCACTTATATTAAACAGGCAATGGATGCAATCAAGCCTGAAACAGTCAATGCATGTTGGCGAAACCTGTGAAAAGAATGTGTGAATGATTTTAAGGGTTTCCCGACCATTGACAAAGAAGTGAAACACATTGTTCAGGTGGCCAGGCAAGTGGGCGGTGATGGCTTCGTCGACATCCTTGAGGAAGAAATTAAAGAATTACTTGAGAGCCATAGAGAAACATGGACTAACAAAGAGTTAGAGGAACTGATAAAATCGTCTACAGAAGACGAAGATGATGACGACAAACAAGAAGAGCCAGCAAGTTAGAATCTTCATAATTTGCTGAAGTGTTCCAAGCAGCGAAACACTTGAATGATTTAATTTCTGAATACAATCCCTCTATGGAACGAAGCCTCAAAATCACACGTAGTATTACGGACGATTTGAGACCGTATCAATAAATGTTTGAGCAGCTCAACAGACAACAGTGACAGTTGCCAATCACCATGTTTTTCAAGGAAAAACAACCAGCAGCAGATGAGCCTACGCAATCAATTTCTCGAGCTGAACCAGAGCCAACCACTTCATCTACAACTCGCTCTCCGTCACCCAAGCTCTCCGTCACCTCCATCTCTTGGATCGACATGAAGCCCTAACGACCTCCTGTAATTACCCCCTGTAATTAAAAATACAGTACTGTAAAATTATATTTTGCATATGTACTCTATTATATACTGTACATTACTGTATACATTATACATATTACTGTACAGGGTTGTACACACAAAACCATGTATAGTATACCGTACTTTATGGGCGATTTTAAGGGATTTTCAAGGGTAATTTTGACTATACGCGATTTTTGCCTTACGCGCTGACTTTAGAACCTAACCCCCGCGTAAGATGCGACTCCATTGTAATTAATGAAACCTCATAAGAGAATATGTACTCATGCTGTTTCTATGCCAAGGATATTTAGAGACAAGGTGGATATATTGGACCATATATAGAAGAGCTTCTTAATAGAGAAGAGCTCTGTGTAGCTCAAAAGTTTGTCTCTTTCACCAACAGAAGTTGGTCCAATAAAAAATATTACCTCACTCTCCTCATCTCTCTAATATCCTGGGACCAACATGGCTACAACAACACTGCAAACAACAAAAGAGATTTAGATTAATTCAAATTCACTTCCATATTTGTTTCCAAACCCTTTGAGGTTTGCTCAACACTAATATAGATCCATTCTATTTATATTATTACTGGCTATTGTTACTTTATCTAAATTTAGCTAGGGCTGAATGTTGAGGCACGGGCTATCTTTAAATTAAGCCTTGTGCCAGATCCTGACATCCATGCTGTTTATATCCAGCCCTTACTCGGGAGAGAAAAATGAAGTGAAGGCCTCAGGTTTTCAGTGCAAGATGTGGCATCATGTCTCCCAGATCAATGAAGGGAGAGGGCAGTTTGCATGTGGACTTTGCCCCTCCTGCATGGAAGCAGGAGTCAGCCACCTCTAGAGCACCAACTTCCTGGGCCCTGCAAAGGGCATTCTGTGGCTCTGAAGTTGGCATAGGAATAAAGAGCAGACCAAAGGCAAAGCTGGTGTGACACATTGTCCCTCCTCCAGCCTTCATAGGAGCTTTCCTGAGAAGAAATACTACTCTGTATTTTTCTTCTGCAACCCCACCTCTTCAGTGACCCCAGTTGTGGCTTGCTACTGTGCTGCATTCCACTGTGCTGCTGTTCACAAAACAGCCACAAAATGACCTATAGCAAGTATTCTGATGAAAACTGTGGACATAACACAATAGATGCCTTGTATAGTTACAAATGGGTTCAATCAGTAACCTAGCAAACAAAACAAAACAGTCCATTGACATTCAAAATAGGCAAAGTAATGGAAATGCATAAACACAAATATATTTCACTCCCCCTGAAATAAACACATTATTTATGTCTATACATTTCAATTGCTTTGCCTATTGGTTTTCTGGCATATCTACAAACTGCTTTATATTTGGCCTCTATGTATATGGCCATGGTTCATTACGACAGCTCTGGCAAATCCAACAGAATGACTTGCTAAATGATGTCTGTGGACACATACAATGCTTGGAGTGAAGAATAAAATGTTGATACTGGCCTATAAACTGGAGTCTTGCTTTCAGGGTTATACAGTTTTATCAGGAATATAATTCCAGCATTTACTCTATCTCAAAAGGGATTAGTTTAAAGTGAAAATGAAAAAAATCTGTAGCTGGATTGAACTTTGATTTAGCTGGCTATTTTATCCTGCTTCAAGATTTGTGGTGGCAGCCTGACAAAACTTTTTATTTTTAGTTTCTCACAGAGGCTACTGTATAGCTGGATTAAGAACATGGCACAATAGCACAAGAAACATCTTCTGAGATTCAGGTGTATAATTATTTCAACCTTTCCTCTTGTAAGCTTTATATAGGGGGGAAATGCCATAATCTTCCCTTTCTGAAGGGATCACTGAATGTGTTTAAAAGGGGATAGAATTGCATATAAATCCTGCAGTCCTATTGCTTTCCCAGTGTCTAGGAAAGATAAGACCCTGGACGAAATTTAGACTAAAGTCAAGCCAAACAAGACAAAGATCTTGCTAATGGGTAAATGAAAGAATTTTTGTAGATAGACAGAGCCTCTGACTGATCCCTTTATGGAGCGGGCATGCCTTCTTGTCCCTGTGATTTGCCGTCTATGTCTTTTTTTTAAATTCATTGATGCCGCTGGATTCTCAACTGACATCAGTGGCCCATATAATGCCTTTTACCATATTGGCTGGCCTGGAGGTTTTGTCTTTTGAAGTCTGCTGTTGACTTTACTACAGTTATCTGTGCCTTTGAGCTCAAAATTTGACCAATGGAGTGTGCCCTACATATGGCTCTCCTTGAAGACCACAGATGTGTCAGCTAGTGTAAAGTACATCTGCCTACTTTTTAATTGGGACAGAGCAACATGAACACATGATATATGTGCTCTGTTCTGGCTCTCAGTTTGCTTCTGGTTGCAAGGTGTCAGTGATTATCTTAAAAGAAACACCTTATATTGTCTGGGACATGATTATCTCTGAGAATGCTTTTCTCTGTAAAACCAGTTGTAGCAGTTGGATTAATCAGCATGGTCTTGTCTGTCTCAGGATATGTAAAATTATTATTCTGCATCTAGCACTGGGTAGGCACGTTTATGAATTTTAATGAATAAAGAAAGAAAAGCTACACAATAGTGTAGGACAATACTGTAAATGCAAGAAATCATGGAGACATCAGTAAGGCAACCAATGAAGGAAGGCTTCCCAGTGCAAGGTCTACTGCTCAGGTATATGCATCCAGTGTTATGTGCAGTATGTGCAGCCACCTCTGCAGCTGGGAGCCCCGGGTAGATTTAAAGGCCCTGGGGCTCCCAGCCACAGCCGGTGCCCCAGGGCCTTTAAATCTTGAGAGGCCTTGCCTCTTCCGGATGAGACCACGCCTCTTCCGGATGAGGCCACGCCCCCCTCAGGACTCCGGCAGTACCGGTAAGTCCTGTAAGTTACTTTCACCCCTGGGCAAGACACAACTAGTGGCTGTAAGAAACAATAGGAAAGGAAAGGGGGAGAGAGAAGATGGGGGAAACTAATAAAAATCACAACGTTACAGAGGCTAAGAATATGCATAACTTGATGCTTCCCATTCAAACAGTATCTTTACACTTGCAGTTGGCATGCTAAAAATAGAGATGTAGCCTCAGCAAGATGGACTAACCAACCCGAATACAGCCCCACCCCAGACCTTAAGTGGTATAAGTTGTCACGGTTTTTAAATCTTTGCCTATTTCCAGGTTTGCTTTTTAAAGATATGCAGCAATCCACACCTGCATGACTAAGGGCATCATTAAGCCTTAAGAGTGGGGTTTGCAAAACTGCCTACTGGGTTTGGATGCCCAATTCCTGTTAATTTCAGAGGACTCTTGTGTCCAAAACTCTTAGGCAGCTTAGCTCAGCCCAAATGTAAAAGTTAAATGGCTAAAGACAGAAAATTCTCTTAGGGAAGTCAGTCCCATCCATAATATGCCCTGCTATGCCAAAGTACTAATGCTTATGCTA